AATGAACAGTTGGCGAGGGGGGGAGAAAGGCAAGAGAGTTGGTGGAGCGGTTGAGAGAGAGAAAGAGAAAAACGCACAGCCTTAAACCTGCCAGACCCGCCAAACCGGCAGCCGAGGGTTCCATGTGCTCCTTCCTTAAGACGGAGCAGACCACTGTTTTTCTCTTCCCTCTCCTTTCGCCGCGCTTGGAGACGGAAGCACAAGCACCCCGCCAGGGATTTGGCACGTAAGTTGCTTCAGCCGCCCCTGAGTACTTCACTCACTATGCAGCCGGGCCGCATGTGGAGGAGGAGGAGGAGGAAAACGGGGAGAGGGGAAAGAGGGCGGGGAGAGCAGCCCAGGCCGGGAAAGAGGGGAATGGCACCAGCACTCCAGCAGCCTCCATCCCATTAACGAAACGAGCGGAAGCTCGTTAAATTTATGGGGGCTGCCGGTTCGATATTTTTAAACCCTTCCGGGTTTGAAAATGTGTTTTGATATCGCTTCAAAAATGCAAAAATAACGAATTAATAACGAAATAACGAAATAACGAACTAAATCGCACAGGCCTACTTAATACAAATGTTCAATCAGCAACCCAAGCAAAGCTTAAGCCTGCAACTTAGGAGCTATCTAGATGATACCCTGCGAAGTCTTGTGGTTTCCATTTCAGTGGGACAATTACTCTACTGCAGGGGTTCACAAACTTTCTAAACAGAGGGCCAGATCATAGTCCCTCAAACTGTTGGAGGGCCGGATTATAATTTGAAAAAACATGAATGAATTCCTATGCACACTGCACATATCTTATTTGTTGTGCAAAAAAAAAAACACTTAAAACAATACAATAATTAAAATGAAGAACAATTTTAACAGATATAAAATTATTACTATTTCAATGGGAAGTGTGGGCCTGCTTTTGGCTGATGAGATAGGATTGTTGTTGTTGTGTGCTTTCAAATAATTTCAGACTTGGGTTGACCTTGAGCGAGGGCCAGGTAAATGTGCTTGGAGGGCCGCATCCGGCCCCCGGGCCTTAGTTTGAGGACCCCTGCTCTACTGCATAAGAATTATTCAAGGTACTGAATCTATTTTGCAGTTAGGTTTCAGCACTATGGATAGCTTTAAAAAATAAACTAAAAAATAAACTAAGACAAAAGTGGATTCCCACTTTTGTCTTGACATTCGACACTTGAATGAAACCCTGATTCCAATGGAGGGAAACTGGCAATGCCATTCCATGTTGCAGGAAACCCTCATCTCATAAATTCCACTTGCAAAATTGGTAGAAGGAGGGAAATAGGGTAGACAATGAGAGGAGAGCAAGACGACATCTTGAAAGAGCTCCCTTCTCCTTGGAGGGTGATCGGCACAACTCCAAACTTCAGGTCAGGAACATAACGTTGCAGCCAATTCGCAAATGCTGTCACTCTGGTGTAGACGCCAGGTCGATAAGGCAGAGCACAGCCTTGTCCCCAGCTCACAATGCCCACCAGGAACCAGGAATCATTTTTGGCACAGACCAAGGGCCCTCCGGAATCACCCTAGGAGAGGAAAAAACACAGAAATTACGAAGCCTTCTGAAACTCTCCAAGCACATTCTCTATCACAAAAGGAACTCATAGGACACCTTCAATGTATTTAAATTGATTTCACTGATTCAATATTGGGCTCTTTCAAACCAATCTAAAGAAATATGGGTCCTTATAATACAGCTCCTTGTTTTTTATCAGTTTTTGTCACCTCCACGCTCCCTTAATCCATTATTTTGCATTGGGGATGTTTACATTGGTTTCTGAGGTTATCCTTGAAGTGACTGGCTTGATCTTGAAGAAGCTGGGGGTGGCCAATGGCCAACAGGGAGCTCTGGGCTGGTCCATGAGGTCATGAAGAGTCAGAAGCAACTGAATGAATAAACAACAATTGGAGCACTGCTGTTTTGTTCTGTTGCTGACACTGGAAAAGCCTTTGTACATCCTAGTTAGTACTTGGACAAGAGACCAACACAGAGGAAAAGATCTAGCAAATCACCTCTGAGTATTCCCTGCAGAAGAAAACCTGTGCAAGGTTTTCTTGGGATCACCACAAATGAACAGGTGACTCTATACACATATAATAGAGTGCCCACTAGATGACACTGTGGTGCAGCCCATTACAGTCTCAATTTTACTGAAGGTTCAATAATTCTGTTAAAAGCCATGATATTCTATTTCTGGATTTAATTCTTGTGACAATTATTTCTGCTTTGTTGTACAGTCATACTATGAATATATTGGTGTTTCATCCATTTTTATCCCTGCTTGAAATATGGTTAATTGTAGTGTGGGTAGTATTTCCTTCCCTCTCTATCTTCCCTTCCATAAACTCAACACCTTCCTACATGCTCTTCCTCAATATTCCGATTCCTTGTTTCAGATATTTAGTCGTAGCATGGCACTTTGCCACTCTAACTGGAAAGATGTGCGGGGAGAGAGAAATGTTCTATCTGGAAACCAGAAACAGAATGAAGGAGATTAGAGGGAAAAAATCAATAGAAAAAGTCATAATTATATACCTTGTTACTGGTGAGACTTCCCAGACGTAACTGAAACAATGGATACAGATGTGAGAATTTATCCCTACTTTTATCAGAAACTCCTTGAACTAGAGGAGGTAGAACAAAGTTTAAGAGTCATCAGTAGTCCCAGAAACTCACAAGACATTGATAGTACTGGGAAAACCTCTTTGAGGCAAGTGTGAATGTTGCAATTGGCCAGCTTGATTAGCATTGAATAGCCTTGCAGCTTCAAAGACTGGCTGCTTTCTGCCTGGGGGAATCCATCGTTGGGAGGTGTTAGCTGACCCCCAATTGTTTCCTGTCTAGAATTCCCTTGTTTTCTGGTTCTTTATTTACTGTCCTGAGTCTAGAGTTTTTTTTAATACTGGTAGCCAGATACTGATAGCCCAATAAAGGATTCCCCCAGGCAGGAAGTAGCCAGACTTCAAAGCTGCAAGGCTATTCAATGCTAATCAAGCTGGTCAACTGCAACATTCACACCAACCTCAAACAGACAAGACTTCTTTCTCCCACCCTGGACATTCCACAGATATATAAACCCCACTTGCCTAGTTTCCAACAGATGTTACAACCTCTTAGGATGCCTGCCATAGATGTGGGTGAAATGTTAGGAGAGAATGATTCTGGAATATGGCCCTACAGCCCGGAAAACTCACGCAATCTTATCAATGGTATATAATGCTATATAGGGTTATGGGCAGTTAGAGACACATTGTGAATGTCTTGACACTTCCAAAAAAAAAACTCTGTGTTCCTTCTTCCTCACCTGCATCAATTACAGACCCTTACCTGACAAGCATCCTTCCCACCATGTTCGTATCCAGCACAAATCATGCTGTCCAAGATAGGCTTGGAACCATTGGAAACAGGTTGAGGCACACTGAACAGCTCATTGCATCGGTCAACCTCTATAAGGAGGACTTCAACTTCACGCAATATCTTGGGGGAAGGTAGTGGCTCTAAGAATGAAACGAGAAGGAGAGTGCATAATATATTCAAATGCAGACAGGTGGTAAGAGAAGTATGGCTCTGTAATGTGTTGCATGAGAGCGTGATGGAGCCTCCTTCTCTGGAGGTTTTTAAGCAGAGGCTGGGTGGCCATTTGTCAGGAGTGCTTTGACTGTGTGTTCCTTCATGGCAGGGAGTTGGACTCTTCTATGATTGTGATTCTATGATCGTCACATGCAGTGCTCACATTCACAAAAGTTATGAGGAAGAGACCACAAGCGAGGAGAGATTTAAGCAGTTGCTGGGTCTACTAGAAAGGGAAAGAGTTAGGGTTCCCTTCTCATGTCTTCCTCTTGTTAAGTGAAAGCACTTTTAACTCATTTTAACTCATTTTTTTAAAAAATATATATTTATTGAATGTACATTTTGTCTTTCTCCAATAATAGGTTCAAATGAGTCTTATAGCAAGTAAGAATAAGGTTATATCTACACTGCAGGGGTATAGCCATTTGACACCACATCAACTGCTATGGTATTCATGAAACTGTAAAAGGTAAAGGTTTTCCCCTGACATTAAGTCTAGTTCTGTCCATCTCTGGGGGGTGGTGCTCATCTCCATTCCTAAGTCAAAGAGCCAACGTTGTCCATAGATACCTCAAAGGTCATGTGGCCAGCATGACTGCATGGAGTGGCATTACCTTCTCGCAGAAGTGGTACCTATTGATTGACTCACATTTGCATGTTTTCAAACTGCTAGGTTGGCAGAAGCTGGGGCTAACAGAGGGAGCTCACTCCACTCCCCGGATTTGAACCGCCAACCTTTCAGTCAGCAAGTTCAGCAACTCAGTGGTTTTACCCGCAGCACCACCAGGGGGCCCTTTAGGGAACTGTAACTTTGTGAAATATGTATTATTGACCTTTTCTCTCAGAGAGTTCTGGTGCCACAGCAAACTACAAATCCCAGCATTACATAGGATGGCACCATGGCAGTTAAAGTGGTGTCAAACTACAGTGTAGATTAAAATGCTGTTTAAAAAAGTTTAGAAAAGGACAAGGCAGGAGTGGAAAGAGAAGAAGAGAATCTGGGATGACAGAATATTATTTGGGACTGCTAAATTGGGACAGTTGGAGGTTATGGCATCTGCCCAGAAGGTTACCTTCATATTGGATGTTTCCCCATCCAGTTACCCAACACGGCATGCCTTCAGAGAATACTTCAGAGGGATGTGGCACACACACAGGGAGAATGTACGGGGTGTATTTCAGAGGTCTCTGAAGTCTCAAAAGGGCAATGTCACCCCTTGTTGCAGCTCCTGCAAATTCTATGTTGCGGATCACTTGGACCACCGGGATAGTCTGGGTGTTGGTGCTGAGGTTTCCAATCTGGTACTCCCCCACGGTCACGGTGATCTGTGAAACAGGGTTCTTTCTGGGTTGGGGGAGGCGGGTAAAGACAAAAGAATATATTTCCAGTTTGAATATGTAAGATTAAGTGCTGAACAGTAGAGAAGGTCAGCTCAGCATTGATCTTCTCGATCATAGAAACTGATAGAGAGTTCCTCAGATAATGAGAAAAGAAGTGTCATACTTAGTTAAAGGTAAAGGTTTCCCCTTGATATTAAGTCTAGTCGTGTCCAACTTTGGAGGTTGGTACTCAACTCCATTCCTAAGCCAAAGAGCTGGTGTTGTCCATAGACACCGTCAAGGTCATGTGGCCAGCATAACTGCATGGAGCACCATAACCTTCCAGCAGAACTGGTACCTATTGATCTACTCACATTTGCATGTTTTCGAACTGCTAGGTTGGCAGAAGCTGGGGCTAACAGCAGGAGCTCACCCCGCTCCCTGAATTTGAACCGCCAACCTTTCGGTCAGCAAGTTCAGCAGCTCAGTGTTTTAACCTGCTGCATCACCAGGGGGCCTTAGTGAAGGCAAAATAAATTTCCTTTCTGTACTTCGGTCTTTGACTCTGACTTGTAGGAAGGAATGGAACTTGTGGAGGACCTCAATGTTGTCCACTGAAGAAGAAACACATATTGCCTTTTTTCTTTTTCTTTTTTCTTTTTTTTTTCTTTTTTAATCTTTATTGAGTTTCAAAATTACAATTAAAATACAAGCTAAGAATAGGAGAATATGTGCAATATGATATGAAATAGAAAATCCCGAAAGAAGAATTGTGTTTATTAGATATATAGAGTAAAGAATGTAAAATAGAGAAAAGCACATATAAAGATAGAGAAGGAGAGAGAGAAAAGAAGAAAAAAAAAGGGTAAGAATAAGAGTGTAGAATAGCCCCGAGCCTGGTTAAAAATCAGAGTAGTAGCTGTTTTCGACTTCCTGGAGTCATCATGAGGTCTTCTCCTTCTTCTTTCTTCTCTTCCTTTTCTTTCTTATTTCTCCTCAACTTCTTTCTCTTTTTCTACCTTGATTCATTCTGTTCTTCGATTAGATTAGAATCTTCTTGTTTTTTTGTTTGAAGTAGACCATCACTTCTTTCCAATTTGTTTCTTTCATGTACATCCCTTTACTTCTTGCTATTAAAAAGGTAAGTCTGTCCATATTTTGGATTTCTAGAATCTTTGTTAGTCTTTCATTTTCATCTGGAATTTCCTTCTGTTTCCATCTTCTAGCGTAACAGATCCTTGCTGCCGTTGTGATCAGAAAGATAATTTTATCTGGATTTTCTTCTATCTTTAAATCATGCATCCCTAATAAAAAGAATTCCGCCTTCCATGGTATTTTAATTTTTAATATTTCTTGTAATTCTTTTTGTACCTCCCTCCAATATTCTCTTGCCTTTTTGCACGTCCACCAAAGATGAAAATATGACCCCTCTTCTTCCTTGCATTTCCAGCAGTCCGTACTAAGATTTCTCTTGCCCATCCCTAATTTCTTCGGTGTCATGTACCAACGGTGGGCTACTTTTAACCAGTTCTCTTTCAATTCAATGGCTTGACAATATTTTAGCTTTCCCTTCCAAATTTTTTCCCATTCTTCTTGTTTGATATTTCTTCTAATATTTTCATTCCATCTCTTTTTGTAGTTTTTGTCTTCTTTAGTTTCTAATTTCCACTCTAGCAATTTTTTATATACTTTTGTTATTAGTTTCTTTCTTGATTCCATTATATTATCCCAGAAGTTTTTTTCTTGGTTGAAGCCAATCTTTTTGTCATTTTTATACTTTTCTTTTATGGTCCAGTACTCCAGCCATGAGATTTTTTGATCCACTGTGTTCAATTCTTCTTGTGATTTCAAGATTATGATCCCTCCCTCTACTTTTAGTAGGTCTTTGTATTTTATCCATTCACGCCACCCTGTGCATCGTCTCTGTCCTGCTTCTAGAGGGGATACCCACATAGGGGTTGTGTTATACAATTTGTCCTTATACTTTTCCCATGTGTTCAGCACCGTTGATCTTATGAAATGGTTTCCAAAATTCTTCTCATTTTTTTCCCCTTTATACCATACATAGGTATGCCAGCCTTCTCTTAAGTCTGCTCCTTCCAATATTAACAATTTTTTCTTTTCTAATTTTGCCCAGTCTTTAGCCCAGAGTAGTGCAATCGTTTCTAAATATAGCTCGAAGTCCGGGGCTGCTAGACCTCCTTTTTCCTTTCTTTCTGTCATATTGTCAAAGCTAATCCTCGGTTTTTTGTTTCTCCAAATAAATTTTTTGATATCCTTATTCCAATCCTTTAAGATTTTTTTATTCCGAATAATTGGTAAATTTTGAAATAAAAATAGGAGTTTTGGCAAGATATTCATTTTTACTATTGCAATTTGTCCCAGCAATGATAAATTTATACTTTTCCATCTTTCCAGATCTTTCCTTATCTCTTTCCATTTCTCTATATAATTATTTTGTAATAACTGTAAATTCTTAGATGTTAATATTATTCCCAAGTACTTCAACTTTTTAACTATCTGTATATTCCATTTGTTTTTTATTTCTTCTTGTTCTTTTTTCTCTATGTTTTTGGTTATTGCCTTAGTTTTTTCCATATTAATTTTAAAGCCTGAGACTTTGTCGAATTCTTTTATTGTCTTTATCCATTCCTCTAAGTTGTTCTTCGGATCCTCAATTATACAGATCACATCGTCTGCGTATGCCCGAATTTTATATTCCTGTCCTTGTATCTTTGCACCTGCCAATTTTTTTCCTCTCTTATTTTATTTAATAATATCTCTAAGGTGAGGATGAAAATTAATGGCGAGAGGGGGCACCCCTGCCTTGTTCCCTTTCTTATCTCTATCTTTTCCGTCTCTTTTCCATTTACCAGTACTTTTGCCTCCTGTTTTTCGTAGATCGCCTCAATTGCATTTTGGAAATAAAATCCTAAGTCCATCTCTCTCATTATAATTTTGAAAAACTTCCAATTTACATTATCAAACGCTTTCTCCGCGTCCAAGGCTAAAAGCATTACTTTATTTTGATGTTTATTTTCATAATGTTCGATTAAGTCCACAATCATCCTCACATTTTCACTTTGATATCTATTAGGCAAGAAGCCGGCCTGATCTTCTTTTATATGTTTATCCAATAGTTGTTTTAATCTTTCCGCCATTATTAAACTGAAAATTTTGTAATCTACGTTCAATAAAGAGATTGGTCTGTAATTTCTAACTTGTTCCTTATCCGAATTCTCTTTGTGTATCAGGCAGATATTTGCTTGTTTCCATGACTCTGGGGCTTCCTTATAAATTCTTATCCTATTCATCATTTCCTTTAGGTATGGTACCAGCTCTTGTTGAAAAGTCTTATAATATATTGCTGACATCCCATCCAGGCCCGGGGCTTTGTTTGGTTTTAGTTTGTTTATTGCCTTTTTTCTAAAGTTGGCGTCTTTATAACAATGGTCATTCATCTTCTACTAGTGAAAATGCTCATGTCCCTTAAACCTTCGTGACTATTGTGTCTCTAATGCAACCAAACAGTATGGATTATGTATTCAATATATACAGTCACATATATTTTACTAATACATTCCTGACTCAGTTGTGGTGCATCTAGGCTGAAGTATTCATGTAGTTTGACAGTTCTTTAATGGCCATGGAGTCATGAAGGTTGTGATTTCACAAGGTGCGCAGACTTCTCTGCCAAAGAATGCTGGTGCCTCACCTAACTACAAATCCCAGGATTCCATCCATTGAGCCAAGGCAGTTAAAGTGGTGCTAGACTACATTAATTCTACGGTGTAGACTAGGGCCAGCTATTCTTTGTAACTTAACAGATTTGTGAGTCATGACCCATTTTTCTTTCTCCCCCCCCCCCCTCCGTCATCTTCTCTTATCATGTCTAGACTGCTACAATCGCACCAAAAGGCCAAAATGCATTGGAAATATCCAACAACTTCATTGTTTTATCTCAGATACTCACTTGAAGCAGTGAGCAGCAGAGAGGACCCACTGCTCTGCCACAATGGACCCTCCACAGAAATGCCTTCTGTTCCAACGGATGCTGACCTGCCAGGGCCAGGCCCCCAGCTTGGAAGCTTGGCCACCTACAATTCGCGAAGACATCACTGGTTGACCACAGACTTGGAGAAAAAGCAGAGGAATCATAAAAGAACTGAAGAGACAATGTCTTAAACTTTTAAAACATAGTTTAAGCCTCTAAACAGTTCTGGTCCAACTTATCTGTCCAAATGCATCTCCTCCCATGAGGCTAGTAGGACTTTAAGATTAACTGGGGAGGCCCTGCTCTCAATCCCACCTTCTTCACAAGCACAATTGGTGGTAATGAGAGACAGGGCCTTCTCAGTGGTGGCTCTTCAGCTGTGGAACTCCCTCCCCAACGACATCAGGCAGGCTCCATCCCTTCTGGGTTTTAGGAGAAAGCTAAAAACTTGGCTTTGCACACAAGCGTTCGAAGAATAAGTTACTACGGGTTTCAACACAGTCTGAGTTAAGGATTTGAGCAAGATTATCGGATGAATGGAACTATGCACCTTATATGTTTTTAATTTGTACACTGTTTTATATGTTTTATTGATTAACTGTTAATCATTTTAACTGTGGGATATGTTTTTACTGTTTATTGTTGGGTTTTTACCGCCTATAAACTGCTTTGAGTCCCCTCGGATGAGAAAGGTGAGGTAAAAATGAAATAAAATAAATATTTAATATATGCCTGTCTATTTAATTTAGTTTTAATGTTTTAAAGGGTTTTAACTTCCATGTGTTCATTGTACACCACCCTGAGATCTTTTGGTATAGGGTAGGGTAGAAATATTCTAATTAATTAATATGTCAATCAGTGAATTAATTAACAAAGTAATTAATGAATGGCTTTTCTTTCATTGCCTAAAATGACTCTTTGGTAAAAATAATAATAATTAAGAACAAAGTCAGAGAACAATCTTTCTTTTTAACAACCAGCTGATTTGGGTGTCTCAAACACAGAGGCACCGCTGGCAAGCAACAATTTTTTTTTATTCATTCCCCATTCACAAGTTTTTTCCTTCACTCCCCTTTTGGCTGGAGTTGACGGTGAAATCACAATCCTTTCTGACCACCTCCTACATGTCTCTTTATCATGCCCCCCCCCCCTACACACACACACCAACATATGTCCCCTCCGACTAAAAACGTGTTTGAGTGAATCTTCTCTTTAGTGGTAAATAGCCACTAATATTCATGTAAGGCAAAGTTATTAGACTGAACCTATTGTTTCTGATCTGTCAGGAACTGCTAATGCATAAAAAATACAGCAGAATTTCAGAAATATTCTTTCAGTTGCCCCAAAAAGTATCTACTTTCCCTTAAAAACATCTTGATTTAAATGATGCTCTCAAGAGATAAAATAAAGTAGTCTTCATTAAAGGTAACATGGTTTACTTACAAACTTCATGTATTCAGCATACAGGTACATTGCTTATCAATCGAGTTCGAGTTTGAAGTAGTTTCTCTGAGCAGATAACACAGGGCATCTTTCTTAGAATCAACAGTCCAAAGTCAAAAGCATCTCTCAGACTCTAAAGGAGCCATGGCATCTCATGGCTTCTGAGAATCTAATAGTACCTGATGGCATCTGTTCTCCAAAATGGAGTCTCATGTCTGAATCTGGGTCACACCCTCTGCAGTCCTTCCCAAAACATAGAGTTAAGGTAAAACTGCATACCGATACATACACACACACACACACACACACACACAATACAGTAAGCAATCTGAATTATATACATAGCCAATGACTAGTATAAGAGGTTAGTACAGTGTTTCTCAACCTTCCTAATGCCTTGACCCCTTAATACAGTTCCTCATGTTGTGGTGACCCCCAACCATAACATTATTTTTATTGCTACTTTATCACTGTAATTTTGCAACTGTTCTGAATCATAATGCGAATATCTGACATGGAGGATGTGTTTTCATTCATTGCACCAAATTTGGCACAAATACCCGATACAAGTTTGAATTCTGGAGGGGTTGGGGGGCACTGATTTTGTCAGTTGGGAGTTGTAGTTGCTGGGATTTATAGTTCACCTACAATCAAAGAGAATTCTGAACTCCACCAACGATGGAATTGAACCAAACTTGGCAAACAGAACTCACATGACCAATGGAAAATACTAGAAGAGTTTGGTGGGCATTAGCCTTGAGTTTTGGAGTTGTAGTTCACCTGCATCCAGAGAGTACTGTGGACTCAAACAATGATGGATCTGGACCAAACTTGGCACAAATACTCAATATGCCCAAATATGAACACTGGTGGAGTTTGGGGGGAATAGACATTAGCATTTGAGAGTTGTAGTTGCTGAGATGTATAGTTCACCTACAATCAAAGAGCATTCTGAATCCCACCAACGACAGAATTGGGCCAAACTTCCCACACAGAAACCCCTTGACCAACAGAAAATACTGTGTTTTCTGATGGTCTTTGGTGACCCCTCTTACACCCCTTTGCGACCCCTCCAGGGGTCCCGACCCCCAGGTTGAGAAACACTGGGTTAGTAGAAGGCTCCTATTTGCAACACCTGATTCATTTCTTTCTGTCCCTTCACTCTCCTTTCCTTTCTTCTAATTGTCCCACCCAGCCATCTCTTTAGCTCTCCATGTCTTTCTCTCTCTCTCTCTCTCCTTCCAAACTGAACTATAATTCAGAAGGGAATGTGAAATGAAGATGGGTTGTAGGGAAAAAATTGGATTTTTAAAAAAGTATTTTTATCATAGTTATTACATTTGTTATACATTTGTTATAGCAGTTACATATTATTCAACACACTCTTTAACATATAGTCTTATTATTCTGCTTAAGCATTTTCCCCCTTTTTTTCCCACCACTGTGCTCCCCTCCCCCCTCTCAAGCCACAACTTTTACATATCATCTGTCCAAAATCTCATTTCTTCTTGTGGCGGTAACTTTCCTTCTTTATTTTTTAAACCATTTACTACAAATTTTCCCCATACAACATCAAAATCACTTTGTTTCCATATACCTTTTTTAACTTTTAATATACATGTAAGCTTATCGTTTATTGCCAGTTTCCATGCTTCCTTGTACCACTCCTCTATTTGTATATTTATTTCTTTTTTCCAGTTCCTTGCTATGAGCAGTCTTGCTATTGTTAATAGGTTTGTTATCGCTTCTTTATCCTCCTTTTTCAGTTGTTTATTGTTATATAATGATAATAAAGCTATACTAGGACTTTTCTCAATTTTCATATTCATTATAACCTCTATTTCTCTAAATACTTTCTCCCAAAAATTATTTACATATTTACATTGTCACCACATATGTATATATGTTCCTGGTTCTTGACATCCTCTCCAGCAATTTTTTGAATTATTTTTATTTATATATGCTATTCTTACTGGTGTCAGATACCACTTCCATATTAGCTTATAATAATTTTCTTTAACCCGTATTGATAAATTTTTTAAATGTCTTTGTCTCCATAATTGTTGCCACTCTGTTTCATTATTTTTATCCCTAAATCTTCTTCCCAAACCTCTTTAAGGGTATTGTTTTTTGTGTTTCCTTCCTTTGTTTCAATTATTATCTTATATATTTTACTAATTGTTCCTCTCAAATTTTCATGCTCTTCTACAACCCTTCCATTCTGTATTATTTGTTCAAATTGATTAAGTTTGCTTCCATTTTTATTATTTTTTCCCCAATTTTTGAACCATTGTTCTAATTGTATACAATGGAACCATGTCAATTTTATTTCTTTAAACTCTTTCATAATCATTTCCTTCTTCATTCCCACCCATATCTTGTCTATTTTTTTCCCCTTAACTTTTTATCCATTACTTTTTTTAGATTTTTTGGAAACTTCTTTTCCATTACAATTGGGGTTATAATTGACTCATCCATTATTAACTTTTTTTTTTTTATTTTTTATTTTTTTATTATTTTTATTTTTTTATTTTTTTATTTTTTTATTTTTTTATTTTTTTATTTTTTTTTTTTTTTTTTTTTTTTTTTTTTTTTTTTTTTTTTTTTTTTTTTTTTTTTTTTTTTTTTGTTTTTTTTTTTTTTTTTTTTTTTTTTTTTTTTTTTTTTTTTTTTTTTTTTTTTTTTTTTTTTTTTTTTTTCTTTTTTTTTTTTTTTTTTTTTTTTTTTTTTTTTTTTTTTTTTTTTTTTTTTTTTTTTTTTTTTTTTTTTTTTTTTTTTTTTTCTTTTTTTTTTTTTTTTTTTTTTTTTTTTTTTTTTTTTCTTTTTTTTTTTTCTTTCTTTTTTTTTTTTTTTTTTTTTTTTTTTTTTTTTTTTTTCTTTTTTTTTTTTTTTTTTTTTTTTTTTTTGTTTTTTTTTTTTTTTTTTTTTTTTTTTTTTTTTTTTTTTTTTTCTTCTTTCTTTCTTCTTTCTTTTTTTTTCTTTCTTTCTCTTTTTCTTTCTTTTTTTTTTTTTTTTTTCTTTCTTTCTTTTTTTTTTTCTTTTTTTTTTTTTTTTGTTCTTTTTTTTTTTTTTTTTTTTTTTTTTTTTTTTTTTTTTTTTTTTTTTTTTTTTTTTTTTTTTTTTTTTTTTTTTTTTTTTTTTTTTTTTTTTTTTTTTTTTTTTTTTTTTTTTTTTTTTTTTTTTTTTTTTTTTTTTTTTTTTTTTTTCGTGTGTTTTTTTTTTTTTTTTTTTTTTTTTTTTTTTTTTTTTTTCATTTTTTTTTTTGTTTTTTTTTTTTTTTTTTTTTTATTTCTTTAAACTCTTTCATAATCATTTCCTTCTTCATTCCCACCTTTATCCAATCCCCTATCTTGTCTAAATTTTTTCCCCTTAACTTTTTATCCATTACTTTTTTAGATTTTTTGGAAACTTCTTTTCCATTACAATTGGGGTTATAATTGACCCATCCGTTATTAACTTTCTCCTATATTTGTTCCATACTTCTAATGTATTGCTCAGCATTGGGTTTCTGATTTCCCTAATTTCTTTTCTCGTGAACTGTTTGAAAAATATATTCCAAATTTCTTCTTCCACTTCTTCTGAGTCTTTATTAAGCCAATCTGCTCCCTCTTTTTTAACCATTCCTTCTATAACCAATCTTAATCTACTTGCCTCGTAATATTTTTTAATATTAGGTAATGCTAATCCTCCCTCTTTTTGCGATCTATACCATAACTGTTTATTTAATCTATTTCCTTTACTACCATTGCAGTACTTATTGATCATTTGTTGCCATCTATTTAGTTCTTCTTCTGTAATTTGAAGTGGCAGCATCCTAAATATGAAATTTATCTTTGGAAGTATTTTCATTTTTACTAATGCTATCCTTCCAAACCAAGATAATGTATATCTTCATACTCTATTATCGTTTTCTGAACCACTTTCCTCAATGTTACTACATTTACCTCTTCCATTTCTTTTAAATCCTTTGTTATTATTACTCCAAGGTATTTTAATTTATTCTTAATTCTTATTCCCATTTTACTCTGTTCTATAAAGTCTTTTTCTTCTTTCTTTGTATAATTGAGTAGCATCATTTCTGACTTATTCCAATTAACTTGTAAGCCTGTTGTTTTCCCAAATATCTCCAAATGATCCTTTATTTTATCCATTTTCTTTATTATATTTTCTATAAATAGCAATGTGTCATCAGCAAATAGACTCACCTTCTGTTTCTCCTTTTTTCCTAACCCTTCTAGACTCTTGTCTTTCCTAATGGCATTTGCAAACAATTCTACCACCATGGCAAATAAAATTGGTGACAAAGGGCAACCTTGTCTTGTTCCTCTTGTCACTTTTATTTCATTTGTCACTCCGTCGTTTATAGTTACCACTGCTGAGTTTCTTGAATAATATTGTTCTAAAATTCCTTTTGTTCTATTTCCCATTCCAAATTTATTCATAATTTCCCTTAATGTCTCCCATTCCACACAATCAAACGCTTTAAAAATATCTAATGATAATATCCCTACTTTTTTCTTCCCCTCTTTAGCCAAACAAATTTTATTTAATACTCTCCCTATCAAATTTGACATTTGTCTTCCTTTTACAAATCTACACTGATCTTTTTTTATATACTTATACATGCATTTACTCATTCTATTGACTATTATAGCAGATAAAATCTTTGCATCCTGATTAACTAACTATATGGGCCTATATGACCCCGGGTCTGTTAAATCTTTATCCGGTTTAGGTATTAATATTATTAATGACCTCCTCCATGATTCTGGCATTTTATCTCCCTTCATTATTCCATTATACAATTCTAATAATTTTGGAGTCAAAACTTCTCTAAAGCTTTTGTAATATTCTGACCCTAAGCCATCCAAACCTGGGGCTTTCCCAACTTTTAAATTCTTAATAACTTCCTCTATTTCTGTCTTCTTAATAGGTTGTTCCAGTAGCTCTTTATCTTTCTCCTCCAACTTACTCTCCCAATTTTCCTCCACATATTTCCTGATTGCTTCTATAGAGCTAGCTTTTGTTTGGTATAATTCATTATAAAATTCTTCAAATACCTTCAATTTTTCTTTCATAGTTCTACATAATTTACCTGTTTTATCTTTTATCATATTTATCATGCCTTCCATTTTCTTTTTTTGTGTGGATTTGGCTAACATCTTGGAATTCCTATCACTAAACTCAAAATATTCCCTCCTTAAATATATTAA